ATCAAATCTGCTCTTCAGATGATCTCTAAATTCAGGTGGGATAAATTCGAGGTCATATTTTGGTTCTCGTGAACTTGTTTTCATTTTCTTCAGCTTCAGTTTGAATTTGCATATGAGTAATTGATGGTCTGTTCCACAGTCTGCTACCAGCCTTGTTTTTAGTGATGATTGGAGCTTTTCCATCTTCTCTTTCTGCAGATGTAATCAATTTGGTTTCTGTGTGTTCCATCTGGCGAGGTCCATGTATATAGTCATCTGTTTCACTGTCTAAAGAAGGTATTTGAAATAAACAAGTAATTTGTTTTGCAGAAATCTATTATTTGTTCTCCAGCATCATTTCTATCACCAAGTCCAAATTTTCCAACAGTGGTCCTTCCTCTTTGCTCCTAACCTTTGTATTCCAATCACCAGTAATGAGCAATACATCTTGATTGCATGTTTGATCGATTTCAGAATGAAGAAGTTGGTAGAATTCTTCTATTTCATCCTCATTGGCTTTAGTGATTTTTCCACTTTCACTTGCTAGATAAGCCAGAGTAAAGGGTCCTGCACAAGTTAATTGTAGGGCTGGGACCCCTAGGCTGACGTCATAAGCAGCCGCCAAGCTCGTTCTCTCTGTACCGTGGGAAAACTGGGCTCAGCGTTGGACTTTTTTTTTTTGGCGGGAGGGGGCGGTTGCGCATCCACCAACCTGAAGGTGTCCAGGCTGGGCAAAGAAGGCGCAACAGGGAAGAGAAGGAAAAAAATGTAGAATCCCCTGCACCTCCTTTTGCAAATGTCACTGCACTACTATTAGCGCTGGGTCCTTGTACTGGTCTGGCTGTAGCCCGGCCCTCTGAACTCTGCCTGGGCAGGGTTACTGGAGAGGGAGTCCCGTCTCCAGCGATTCCTAACTCCCAGTATTTTCCTTTATATCATGATTGCACTTGTGGGAAACTGACACCTTGTACCTTATGCTAGATCCAGAGCTCTGGTGTTGTTCTGTGAGCACAGCTTCTCTGGATTTTCAATCCCTCCCCCACGGAGCCTTTCCTACCTAGCTGTCTCTGCTGCCCGCCAAAACCGGAACTCCTAAAGGTTTTACTTTAAAGCCCAGTGACTTTTTCTTGTGACTTTTCAGTGACTCAAAGGGTTAAGAAGACTGGCGGGATACTTGCTCGCTGAAGACAGTCAGTGGGAGGGAGATGAAAGAAAACTCAGAGTTTAACATTTCTTAGAAAAAGCTACTTTAAAAAAAACAAACACAAAACCTCCTTTAAACCTTTGATTACAGTGACTATATTTTTGTTTTCTGAAACAATTCTGATTTCAAACATCTAACCCTAATCTCAGACAATATGAACTGTTGTTGTTAAGTGCCAGCAAGTCAGTTCCAACTCATAATAACCCTGTATATGGTTTAAGGAGTTAGGAAAGATGATAATTAACAATTAAAGGCATTTAATTTTTAACTTCATAGCATACTCCATAAAAAGTGAAAATTAAAAATCGTTGCAAAGCATGGGACTTGCTTTAAAGAGTAGTCTGCTGTTACATGCCGTTGAGTCAATTCTGACTCCTAGCGACCCTGTGTAGGGTTTCTGAGGAGCAACTGGTGAGCTTGAACTGCTGGCCTTGTGGTTCAAACATACCTTGCAGTCCAGCGCATTAAGCCACAGCACCATGCCAGGAGTCCAAAAAATAGATTGCTGTTGTTGTTGTTAAGTGCCGTCGAGTCGGTTCCAACCCATAGTGACCCTATATAGGATTTCTCAGGAGTGACTGGTGAGCTTGAACCACTGACCTTGCAGTTCAAACCAATTTTTCAGTTCAGCACATTAACTCACAGTGCCACACCAGGACTCCAAAGAGTAGATTAGAATCATTTAAATTAGGAAAAACAATAACCTATGTTGTGCAAGTAGGTTCTACTTTTTCTGAGTACCTTTAAGCCTGAAACCATACTGCTTTATTGTTTTGTATTATTTAAGTATATTGCTGACTTGAATCAGAGGATTTGTTGTTATCAAGGAATGGCTGATACCTTTTCAAAATAATTCTATATCATAAAATGAAATGCTGTTACACTGTGTGACGTTGTCGCTGAGCCTGTTCTGACTCATGGCAATCCTATAGGACAAACACTTGGAAACCAGTGTGTTTCTGGGGCTGTCATCTTTATGGAAGCCAACTGCCCCATCTTCCTCTCATGGAGCAGCAGGTGGGCTCAAACCACCCACCTTGTTGTTAGCAGCAGATGGCTGAACCCTCATGCCACCATGTAACAAAAGAACTTTTTAAATATGTGCTCATTTCATTTACGTATATTGAAACCCTGGGGTTTTTTTCTCTTATAGGAAAACTAGGACTAGAAGAATATGCAGTCTTTTATCCACCAAATGGTAAGAGTAATGCTATTGCTTCCTCTAGTGGGAAATTGGGAAATTACAACTTTTTATAATAGAAATGTGATTTTCTTATTTTCTATCAGAGGGCCAGTACAGGGTCACTAGGAGTCGGAACCGACTCAATGGCACTTAACAACAGCAATCTTTCAATGGATGACAATTTATTACCTAAAATAAACCTGCTATAGAATACATATTTTTGTGAATTTTTCTACTTCTGTGGCAAATTTGTGCTCAACTGTGCATTCCCTTTCTGGTTCTCCTTGCAGGCAGTAGTACTCTTGTAAGAAAGCTAAACTGACTCAGGTGTGTACATCCAGTACACTTGGTTTTTCTCTGAAAGACACTAACTAGCCCATCTAGGACCTGTATTGGAGCAGAATTCTAATCAACCGAGTATGTTACCTTGTGTTGTGTTTTACTATTCTCATAATTTAACAAGTATGGCATTTATGAAAAAGATTATTAAAAAATATCTCACTGATAAGAAGAGAGGGCATATGCACAAGAACTCCCACACTTGGAGATGATACCCACTTGACCGGACTTCAATGAATGGATGATTAGAGCTCAACTAGAAGAAGAAAGAAAAGGAACAAAAGAGTAATCTGATACAATTTGATGAACTTGACCTACACCTGTAGATGCAGTAGCTCAAAAGAGGGAACAAATCTTTACAGCAAGGATCATTCCCACCCCCTCCGTACACAGAGTAGACAGGGATGGGCAACATGGACATTAGCTACCCAAAGTAGGGGGGCTACAAAGCCAAGAAGTGACTGGTGGCTTACAAGCTTTCAAGAGGGAACCTAGATCCAGAGGGCATGGAGGAAGGTAGAATCTCCACTGAGTAGTATCTAATCTGTCTAGGTGGGGCTGATGAAATGCGGATAGGTCTTGTGGGATACAATGGTGAATAATTATTACCACAACTGATTGTCAGGGTTGGAAATGTAAAGGTAGTCACTTTGTAACAAGGAGGGAAGTGATTAACTTTGCAGTCTAGGAGCGGAGGTCCCTGGGACCATCAAGGGAGAATAGTGGAGAGTGGGACCCTACCCAGAGAAACAGTGACACCAGAGATGGAGGCAGAGATGATGACGTGGAGAGATGGAGCAGCTGGGAACTTTAGACCTGGAGACGGAGAGGGGCTGTATGCTGACAACCAGCAGGCAGGCTTGCAGGGTATACCCTGTGGTTGGTTGATGATGCATGGAGGGGATTGTAACCATGGCAATGAAATGATATAGGATAGGATGAATGTAAAACTAATGTTCTCCCATGTAAACTATCACATAATTCACATTATATATATATATATAACTGAAATAAATAATACATTTTGATTTTATCAGATGATCAAACGACCTCAGTTGTTGTTGTGAAGTGCTGTCGAGTTGATACCGACCCATAGCGACCCTATATAGGGTTTCTGAGGAGCAGCTTGTAACCTCAGTAGACATTAAATATTCCTGTGAAATTATTTGGCAATTTTTAAGATATGCTTCTTGGAAAAGCAATGTAGAGCAGTCCTAACTGTGGTACAATTAAGTTGCATCCTGAAGGAGTCCTTTTACTCCAGCAGAGGTAACAACCTGGCCTAATCCAGTAGACCTGGTTCCGGTCCCAGTTCTGCATGACTTCTCTGAACTTCAGCGTACTCATCAGTAGGACTGAAGGACACACAGTATGTAAAATGCCATCATGCCAGACATGTTGTAAGTGCTCAAAAACTAATAGCTGGTGGTTAGTTGATTGGTTGGTTATGTGCTGTGGAGTAGGTTCCAACTCATAGCGACGCTGTACAGGGTTTCTGAGGCTATACATCTTTATGGGAGCAGAAAGCCTCATCTTTCTCCCACGGAGTAGCTGGTAGTTTCGAACTGCTGACGTTGAGGTTGGCAGCCCGACTCGTAAGCACTACGCTACCAGAGCTGTTTAACGACTTTACTGACCACTCCATCATGGCGCCTCATCTCGTCTTGATCTCTCAGTGTGATGTCCCAGGTTCTCTCACAGTCCTTCTCCCTCTGCCCCTCTTTATAACACTGGTGTTGGTTGCCCAGTTCTGCTGCTCTTCTCTTCACACTGCTTTTGCGGTTCCATCCACTTGTTAGTTATGCTAAAATGGGTATCTCCAGTCTAATTTTTGCTATAATCACCTCAAATTTACCATGTTCCAACCTGAACTCATTCATTTCTCTTCCCATGTACACCCCTCAAAAGTAAAAAACAAAATCAAAGCAAGTTTTTCCATCGGCTGTATCTTTCTCAGTTAATTATATTGTCATCTTCCCAGGAACTAGTGTGAAACCTGGACTTCAGAGCCTTGAGACACCCCATGTAAGTGACAGGACCTTCCAATTGTATCTTCCAGATACATCGGGGACCTCTTCTTCCTCACTGTAGAAACTTGCCTTGCCCTTACTTGCCCTCACTCTCTTTAGTGTATTCGTTACTGCTGCCAATTAATGGTCTCTTCTCCAGCTCTGCTCTGTCTCTCACAGTGCTGTCCGAGTTACATATCTAAAACGAAATCTTAAGGCACTATTTTTGTCCTTAAAGTTTTCTTAAGTGTGATAACAACCATACTTCCCTGCATGACCTAAAGACTGTTTTGAGCCTGGCCCCTATCCAGTCAACCTGCTGTCTTCATTTCTCACCACCTCCACCTCGCCTAGTTATCCAGTCTTATTGTTCATGTGTTATTGTTGTTAAGTGCCTTCAAGTTGGTTATGGCTCATAGCGACCCTGTATAGGGTTTCCAAGGAGCAACTGGTTGGTTTGAACTGTGACCTTGCAGTGCTTATCCAACAGCACCACACCGGAACTCATAAACTCACAAAAGTGCCATGCTGCTTTCAGCCTCGCTACCTCTGCTGTCCCCAGCCAGCCTTTCTGCACTGGGCTGTCCTCACACTCAGTCCTGGCATGATTCTCTTTAGGAAGCTTTCCCTGAATCCCTACCTATCCGGTTAAGGGCCCCTCCTCTAGGCTCCCATAATACCTTGTGCATGACTCTCCCCTATTTTTTACCATATTATCCTGAGCTCATGCTCATGACAATATCTTCCCCTCTAGTTACTGTTTCTTGAGAGTTTCAGGTCCATATCATTCCTTCATTTTCCCTAGTACCTAGCACAGAAGGAGCTTAAAGGATACCTGGTGTGACGCTGGAAGATCACCACTGGACTGCTAACCACAAGGTTGACGGTTCAAACCTACCAGTCACTCCTTGGAAACCCTATACAGGGTTGATATGAGTCAGAACTGACTCCACAGCACTTAACAGCAATAACAGTGAGGATTGATTTTAACTAAAAAGCTTGCGCTAACGTTAGCATTTATATGTAAGCTTTGTTATATCTTTGTTACATCATTTTCTGATAACTATACAATATCACATAAGAACACTTCAACCAATAAATCAGCCTGGGAACATTTTACATAAAAGCCATTCATAATAGTAGTTGTAGCAGCAGCACGTGATTTTTCCCAAGCACAACTCTGTTTCACACAGTGTGCCAAGTACAGTACATGTGTTAACTCATTAGTAACTGATGAGAACTCAGTGAGGCAGCTATTAATCTTATCCTTTTATAGATAAAGAAACTGAGGTACACAGTAATAACTTGCCTAGCTGGTGCATGACAGAGCCAGGCCTTGAACCCAACTTGTTTGGTTTCCAAGGCCGTATTCTTAATCACTTCACCCTTCCACCTCAGAGAGTGCTACCATGTTCATGGTAGTGGTTTCGGGGAGAAGGGAAAGTGTTTAATATATTGAAAAGTAAAAAGATGTATATAATAAATTCTAGAAATATTTTCATCCAGAATCAAAATAAGTTTGAATGCCTGAGAAGGTAATCTCATAGCTGCTCATAAACCTAAGTGTTCAGAGACATTGCTTTTCTTGGGGTTGCTTCAGAATTTACCAGAACCCAGAAAGATCCATTCCCCTGGTAAATGAATCTGAACTTGCCAGATAAGAGGAGACAAAGACGGTGCTCTTTACCCAAGGTGATATGAAGGAACTTTCTTACATTGCACCTTGATCTTCAACCTCTGCCAAAGGCATGATTATTTTGAAATCTCGAGGACACCCTCCTACAACAGCCACCGCCACCACCCAGACTGTGTGAGGGTCCCACAAGAGGTCTGCCTGCAACTCACTGACACACTGCCTCTCCCTGACCAGGCAGGCTCCTTAAAAAACGCAGGGGTTTTCTCACCAGCCCGTCCTCTCCTAGAATGAACTTGATAGGTCACAGAGGCTGTAGCCACTCCATGATCACCTCATATGAGATAGTGTCACTGGAGACACTTTCCTTAGTAGACTCATTAAAGGACTACATCAGGAGTGGAGGAAGGCTCACTAACAACCTGCAGTATGAAGCTGACACAAGCATGCTTACTGAAAGCAAAGAGGACTTGAAGCACCTAGTGATGAAGATCAAAGAGTAGAGCCTGCAGTATGAAATACACCTTAACAGAAAGAAAACCGAACCCTCACAACTGGGCCCATAAGCAAACGCATGATAAATGGAGAAAAGATTGAAGTTGTCAGGGATTCATTTCCAATCAGTGCTCATGGAAGCAGCAGTCAAGAAATCAAATGACGTACTACATTGGGCAAATCTGTTGCAAAAGACTTTTTAAAGTGTTAAAAAAAAAAAACACGCTGTCACTTTGAGGACTAAACTACACCTGACCTGAGCCTTGGTTTTTCAGTCACCTCATATGCAGGTGAAAGCTAGATAATGGACAATGAATAAGGAGGAATGCGGAAGAATTATGGAATATAATACTGAAGAATTTTGAGTTATGGAATTTTTTTTCATTCTTTTACTTTTAACCTGTTTGTTTCTTTGGATCTAATATGAGTCTCTTAAAACTAACATAAAGTTGGATTCAGGGGGTTTTATTTTTGTTTCAACCCTTTCTGTCAATTTCTGCTTTTTAATTAGACAGTTTAATCCATTTATGTTTAAATAT